ACCATAAACATCCACGATAGACTGCAGCGTCGGCTCCCCTACTACACATTGTCTCCTCATTGGTGTGTCCTTTGTAAAGAAGACAGGGAATCTCCACATCACATCACGTCTTCCACATCTGCTCCTTTGCAACTATGTTTTGGGACAAGATCCTCGCATCTTTCGATTGGACAGTGGCTCTCCCTTATGACATCAAGACATTACTCTCTTTTGTTTTTGTGGGCCACCCATTCAAGAAAGAAACAGAGGTCCTTTGGAAACACATTATTCAAGCTTTTTTATGGATCACATGAAATGAATGAAATCATAGGATCTTTACAGATAAGAACCTCCCCTCTTTCATTTTTCTCGCTATGTCTTGGTGTAAAAATTCTCCCCTCTTTCATCATTATAACATTACCACAATTTTGACCAATTGGAGAAGTTTCTTGTAACCCTTTGGTTTATGGATGCTTTACCATCCCTCTTTTGTAATTTTACCAATCAATGAAATTGTTTCTTAACAAAAAAATATATATAAATTTTACCTTATAATTATCTTGTGGCTGAGGGAATGTTAAATATGGGTTAAGATCTTCCTCAGATGGTTGTTCCGGTGAAATAGTGGCAACAGTTTTCACCTGCATAAGTGTAGTTACAACAAATAAGGTACCAAAGAACTAGTCATCACTAAAAGAGATATAGAACCGTGCATACATCAAATATACTCACGTCTACTTTAGTGGGCTTCTCTTTTTTCTTTTTTGCCGTCTTTTCATTATCTGCCGCAGTCCTTTCACCAAGTAATCCGTATAATTTGGAATCAATAAATTGCTGTCAGCATAAAATTTACAGATTGTGGAAAAGCAATGTTAGAGAAAGACAAAAAGTTAAATCAACTAAAATGCCCCATCATATATTATAAACTCCTAAAACCAATTTCTCATAATGTAGAAGTACCTTTACAATCTTTGGATCAGCCCAAGGATGCTTCTTTCGTACCTGCCCAAACAAGTCACCCACTACAACCAAAACAAATATGTAACTACAACTAAACTAACTATAACAAATTGTATATAAATACTGTGCAAAAATGAAATGAAAATTTCTATCGCAATAAAATAGGCAGCATAAGAATACCAACTGCCATGCAATCCCACACAGCAGCTAAGTGCAGAGACAATTAACTGAGCCTACGTGCAGTTTTACTCCGACAATACATTTTTTGTCCCTTACTTTCATCCCATAAGCATGTGCATTTTCACTCTCTGAAAATAGAGAGAGGGAAATAGAAATTGATTAACTGAGCTTTGCTTTTTATCTCTTTTTTACTCTCATAAAAAAAAGTTGCGACTAGCTATATGAACTTTAACTAATCATGTCTATCTCTTGAAAACCCCTGGCCCCAAAAATTTGGCACTGGAAAACCCAAAAGGATGTTTACTGTTCTAAAATTCTAATTGGCTACCATAGCATACATCTATAAGCTTGAAGATATTCAAGTTTACAACTTATTTGTTTGACCATTTTGCTAACTGCTAACCCATGGTGGTTTGGGATCAAAGGCATCTCTACGTGGCCATTAGTGCCTTGAAGTCCAAGCATATACTTAAAAGTAAAAATTAATAGAAGTGAAGTTCGTGCAGGCTGGTTGGTTCGGATACTCAAGGATATATAAAAAATAAAAAAAGAAGCTGATGTAACTAGTCATGCTTTAGATTAACTAAATAGGTGTTTTATTTAAACCATTCATTTACCAATGTAAAACTAAAATTAAAGCAACTTAGTAGCCAAGGGCTAGTTTCGACTTTCACTTCACCAAGCGATGCTTTATAGCCTATAAATAGGCAACATTGTATTTACTTTGAAAGAACTTTTGGGTAATAAAAATCATTCTACTACGCCTACACCAGTTTTGTCTCAAAGCTCCACGATCTTTGGACTCAATGACAAGTAAGAAGACTACCTCCAACATTGGAGACTCATCCCTCGTCGGAAATGAGGCAGAACCAGTCGCCGTCCTCTCCCCACGATCCACAACCACTCGCTTGCTTAGTTGAGGGGGCTGTTCAAAACCTCCTGAGGGATGTGGTGGAGATACGCCAATTGTTAGGTATGGTTGTAAGAAACCTGGAGCCCTTGAAACTACCTCAAAACTTCCCAAGAATTTACCAAGAAGGGAAAATGAGAAAGGGGAGTGCAATTTGACCTTGACAATCAACAACGAGCTCCAAGATTCAATCAAAGAACCAGCTCATGCTCCAAGAAGATTCTAAGAACCAAGAGGTCTGCAGCACAATTACAATCGGAACCCTGCATTGTATAGAAGAAAGCTATGCAGAAGATATTCCAATATGGGAGGACAACAGAAGACAATTCATCATAACCACCCTCCATACCAAGAGACTAATGACTACAAATTGAAGATAGACCATCCAAGTTTTGACGGCAAGATGAAATCGAAAGCCTTCTTGAATGGATCAAGAATGTCGAAAACTTCTTCAACTATATGAACACTCCAGGCCAAAAAAAGGTTAAACTTGTTGCCTTGAAATTACAAGGAGGTGCTTCAGCTTGATGGGATCAATTGGATACAACAAAAGGCGTTATAGCAAGCAGCCAATTCGATCATGGGAGAAAATGAAAAAACTTACGAGGGAAAGGTGCTTGCCTATAAACTACGAACAAATCCTCAATAACCTCAATGCTACAAGCAAGGGACTAGATCAATTTTTTATTACACAGAAGAGTTCCAAAGGTTAGGGGCACGTACTTTGGAGTAGGTCGAAAAATCGAGCCAATCGACCAAACCGACGTCGGTTGATCGGTTTTCATCCATTGTCGGTCGGCAGTCGGTTCTGAAATTCCAGAACCAACAGGTCGATCGATTGGATGCTGCAGATTCCCAATAACCGACCGACCAAACGAATATTATAAGTGTAGCATAATTTTTTTTATTTTTTAATACTTCTCATTTATAAATATTATAATATTATATAATTTTAGAAACCCTAAAATTAAAATGTCTTCTTGCACCTACCCCCTCCATCTGCTTCTTCCTTG